CAATAAAATTAGTTTCGGTTATAGTTTTATGTCCACAAAAAAATGGAATGATTAAGGTTTCGAATATTAACCACAAAAGTGAATATTAGATCTAAATAATAAATTGAATTAAAACCATTTATAGATTTAATGTGATTACGATGATTTATAATATATGTGAGTCAAAATAATATAGAAACTCTAAAAAGGGATGAACAGAGTTTACTCAATATTTTCTTCAATAAATTTAATTTCCTTCAAAATTAAATTCAAAATGTAGTATAATACAAAAAATCTAACATATTTTGGCATATACAGTTGAAATGGTACTACACACCAAACGAAACCCTACAAAACCTTTCGTATAAACACACATCACTCACACACATATGACAATATATATAATTAACATCCCAACTTACGGTAAATTCCATTGGTCAATTATAACCAAGAACGGCATGGGAGGAACGGCGCAATCTCCGTCGCCAGTGGTGATGTTCCCACGGCCGTGGCTGCACATTGTAATTTATTACATTGCAATATATATATATATATATACACACACACACATAGACATCATTTTAAAGAAGTTTATTCATCGCCACTAAACAATTTTATTTATATGTTTTATTTACAATAATAAAAAATATATATAAAAAATGATGGAGTTTATCAAAATTATTCACCAATTATTTTTTGTTCTATTTTAAAATCCTATCAATTAATTTTATGATAATTTCTTCACCATTATTTTTTTTAGTTTATCTATTTTAAATGTGTTATAAATTAATAAGTCTCATCATTCATATATTTCATTACTATATATGATTAAAAATAAATAACTTTAAAATAAAAATAAAAAATTAATAAAATTAATAAATAAATATGTACATATATATACATATATATATATATATATATATGAATACGTATATACATAAAATAGTTGTAAAAATAGTTAAATTTATATATAACTTATTGATTAACTTGAATTGGAAAAAAAAAAGAGAAATATAAATTAATTTTTTTTATAAACGGGTAATCCCAGGCCCAAAGGGCCCAGACTAATCCCGACCCACACGCACAACCGGCACCACACGTGTGGGATGTGAAGCACCCGAAGGTGACCGGAGGAGAAATCTCCATACCCTGGGTGTTAAACCCACGACCTCTTGTTCAGAAAGTGGGCTCTCAAACCAACAGAAATGGGGGAGATCCCCAATATAAATTAAATTACATACATACATACGTATATGTACACATATATGTACACATATATATACATTATTACACACATATATATATACATATATATATAGATTCATACACAGACATATCCAAAATGATTATTGGCTTAAAATTAATAAAAATACATCTAACAACATTAACGTCAATCTTAATCAAAGTGATCACATCTCATCGGACAAAAGAAGAGAGCAAAGTGAAAGAGTATGTGCAAAGTGAGAGTGATTTCAAATTTGACAAAAATCTACACAAGAAATCAAAATTTATCATTTATTGATTTCAAATTTGACAAAAATCTACACAAAAAATAAAAATTTAGCATTTACATATATTAGTTTGAAAAAATTATAGAAATTCCCAACACTGTTGCATTTAACTGGTGAATTGCACAAAAATCGGCTGCCGGATATTTGACATGGCATGTCCTATATCATATTTTTCTACATAGGGAAATTCTATGATATTATCCCACGTGATTAAAAATGGCCACATAAGATGATACATCAGCAGAGATATTTAATTTCCAATAGGTTTAGATTAATTAACCTGTTTAGAATAATTAAAATTAGTTTTAAAATACAAAACAAAAAACACATTAAAAAGATCTGGGTATTATGATTTCAAACGTAACCCAAATAAAAATTGTCTACTTCTCCTTTGCGACATGTCTGACTCCTCCGGCGAGTCATTCGACTTCTCCTTCGACTGCGGCAACGACTCGACGACAGCGAGGCCCCGAGGACTGCTTCTCCCACAACTGCGACAACGACTCCTTCGCAGTTCTTCGTTCTACAATGCGTACTTCTCAGACGATGGCTCGTTCCACGACGACTGGTCCTGCTTCTAATTCGACGGCTCCTTTTGCGACGACTGCTCCTGAAATCCGATGAACATCAATAACAATCTATAACCAACCCTCAAACCCATGAATATTAATACCAACCACAAATGTGGTCAACAAACGAATTCACATTCAACCCCAAACGGATTTTGTTTGAAATAAACTAAATTGATGTAATAACACTGCACCCCAAACCGACTCACATTCAACCTGAATTTAATCGACACTTGAAACGAAGTGAAGTCTATAGAAAGAATTAACACTAAATCCCTTTATTCGACTCACCATCGCAAGACCAACAGAGGAGAAGAGAGGAGGACGATGTACTTGGGAATCGAAAGCAATCCCAAAGAAAAGTCAACATCAACTGAATCGATGTTGGAAATTGTTGTAACATATGCATAATAATCTTGATAGGGAAAAAAACATTAATTAATGTCGTTTTATATCTTAATGTAATATATGTTTATTTCATATGCTTTAAAATAAATAATAATAAAAATTAAAATTTAATAAAAAATAATCAATAGAAAAATATATAATAAAATGAATAATATATATATATAATTTATATATGAATGATTAAATTTGAATTTGAATTTTATTACATCCAAATTGTTTCTATTTTTTTTTTATTGAAGATAATATAAAGAACTTAAAAACACTACAACATCGAGGACAATGTGCGTGCAAGAAAAAAACATTAAAAAACAATCGATTTCATTTGAAGACAATAATATATTCACTAATCTCTCTACCAACATTTTTTCACAATGGATTTGTTTGATCGACAATCATAATAACAAAAAAATAAAAGTCAAAAGGTTGTATCAACTAAACATGAAATGGAATTCTTCACCTTCATCATTTTTATCAGATCCTTCGCCATCTGCCGGATCACCGGGGAATAGTTGGTCGGTATCATCACCAAAAGTTTTTGCACTCCATTTCTCCTCTCCTCTATCTCTTAGAACGAAGATTCCGATCTAAAGACGTAACAAACTATCTAGACGATCGCCGTCGCGTGCTCCGTCACCTCTGGCGACACCTTCAACCCCATTCCCTTTGTGCTTCCTTCGTTGAATTTGTAATATATAATAGTGAAAATAACTGATAGGAATGTGAAGATAATAAGACACTGATTGGAATTAATGAGAAAAATAGGCAAATAATAAACGTGGTCGTAACTATTAGTGGACTAAATATGTCAAATACATCTTGTTTTTATTTTCTATATAATATTTATTAATAAAAATCACTAAGAGGAATATGATAAGACAATGACTTAATTAGAAAATAGACAAATAATAAATGTGGTCATTACTATTAGTGAACTAAATATCATATCATGGTCACAATACGTTTTCTTATTTTTTAACACTCCTCATTTAATTTTGTAATAATTTTTTCATAATTATCTAAACAAAAACGTATACTTTCCACTACTCAATAATCATATTTATTATAAAATAAAATAATTAGAAAACAAAATGGTCATATTATAACATCTCATTGATGTTATGTGGATTCAATACACCATAACGTAAATTATTTATTATTATTACCACTAATCATTTAAGATTTTTTAATGCACTTTGGTAAAATATAATATTATAATCAATGCGTAAATGTTTTTGCTAAAATCATTTTATATAAAATATTATTTATGTGTAAATACTATTACATTATAAAAATGATTATTTATTAAAATATGAACCAGTCCTTTATTATATAAAAAGAGAGAATATTTTTCTTAAATGACAAATAAAAATTAAAATAAATGTCACATATAATGAAAATACTTTTGTCAAAATATTTTTTATTTTACGTGTCATAAATATTTAGTAGTTAATTTTATTTTTTTTTCATAATATTTATTTAACATTTTCAAAAAGTTATTATTTATGTCTAAAAATTAGTGATGATCCAATCAATTTATATGTAGTTAATGAATTTTTAAATGATAAATAAAAAACAAAAAATAAAATGCCACATAGATAATGAGATGGATGCTTAGGTGGCTTCACCAAATTCCTTTAAACTCCTTTATTAATATATATAGATTGAATTTTTTTTGGATATTTATATAAATGTATTCAAATAAAAAAACTTAATAATATATTAAAATAACAGACAAAATAGTTTTTTTTATAAAATAAAGATAAACTTTTTCCTTTTTCTTAAAACTATAATAATTTGTTAAAAATTCTGTTAGTTTTATAAGACATCTTTTTTTTCAGAAGAAAATTGTATCTCATGTAAAAATTAGTGATATTCTAATCAAAATATATATGTAACTAATGGAATTTTTAAACGACTAATCAGAATGTAGAAAATTGCCACATAGATGCTTAGGTGGCTTTATGAGAAGTCTTAAACATAATTTTTAATATATATATATATATAGATATAGATTATAATAATTTATTGATATAATCTATTATCATATCTTTCACTATGTTCTAATTAATAAATTTTTTAAAATATAATTGTGATTAAATAATATTTTTTAATAAAGTTAAAATCAAAATGATTTTATTGTATAATAAAAATGAGTTTTTTAATTATACAAATCTACTGATATTTTTAAAAATAGTTTTTGATATATAAAATAAAAATGTCAATAATACATAAGACAATTATATAATAAAAATGGATGATTTTTAAATTTTAATATTTTATTGATATTTTTTATCATCCTTCTAATCAATTATTTTTAAAACTAATTTTTATATGTAAAAATTAATGCTAATCTAATTGAATATTCATGTTTATAATGAAGTTTTGTATAAACCAATCAAAAATTAGAAAACATCCACCTAGGATGATGAGGTGTCTTCACCACAACCCTTTAAACTTCTTTATTAATATATATAGATTTTATTTTATTTCCCATAGTAAATTTATATTATATATTATAACTTTATGTAAAGAATCTTCTCCTTAGGGTGAGAATCTTACGCGTCAGAGAATCCAACCGATTCTCTTCTCCTATTTCTCTCGTCGCCGATTGCTTCCGCAACTTTCCGAGCGATTCTCTCTTCTTCATCCACAATCTTCTGACGAGCATAAGCAAACCCGTGAAGCGAAGGTACGTCTCTCCCTTTCGGTACCTTTGCTCTGATTTTGGTTTCGATTCGTTTTCCCGTATAATCAGGTTTTTCTTCATCTCCTTCACGAGTTTAGATTTTCATCTTATACATTGATTTCGGCTGACTAGTGTTTAGATTTTCATGACCACCGTCTTCTGATTTTGGGTCAATGCTTATATGATCGAATTTGTGGCTAATTCCTCGTAAATTTTGTCCTGGTTATGGTTTTTAGGGTTAGGGTTTGTACTCAATATTTGTAAATTTATGGATTGGGCATAGTTGGAATGGGGTTTTCAGTCGCATCGTATTGTTCTGCAGAGAATGTGAAGTTCCTTTTTTTTCACTCCTCTTCAGTTCCTCTGTGATTTTTGCCCATAAAGTGAGTTTTCGTTGTTCTATTCCATGAAACGTTTTCTAGGTCTACCTTAACATAATCGAATTCGTTAACTCATAATGTACCTTTATTGATATTTGATTCCCTCTGAATTTGTGACCGCTTTATCGTGTTCTTAATCTATTGTTCTAAAAGGATGAAAGGGGCAGTCACAAGTATATGTATAATAATGTATAGGTGTAGGTAAATGTTTGTCTTATTTATTTTTCTGGTAAAAGATGATCAGATTTTTTTTTTCTTTTGCAGATTTTCTTTGTTGCTCCCTAGCTTGTTGGAGGCTTCAGGATATAGATTTTCTTCGTCTATACAAGGGAAATTTGGACGTTGCTGGTCACATTTGGTGAGAATGGAAGATACTAAAGATAACTGTGATCCTGCTACTGATTCAAGCTCTGCGGGTAATGGCAAAGAGAAATCAGACGAGAATATCTTCGTGAACCATGGTTAGTTCTCTGTAATTTTCAATTGATATCTTCAGTAGCCAAATCATCCTAAGGCTAAAAGTACTGCCTTAACTAGTTTATCCTCGTGGCTGGGTGAAAATTTTGAACGATTAGTTTGAACTGGTTGTCCCCTTTGGTTATAAATCTGCTTTTCCATCGGTAAATACCTTGACATTAATGCTTCATAAGACAAGCAACATGCTTGTAAAGAAACCGAAGCTCAATGTGGTAAGTTGGCTCTCCATTTTTGTGCAGCTGAGATTTCTTGGCATGAGATGAGGAAGCAATGGGTTGGGGATCCGTCTAAACGGACTTCAAGAATGCGAGCTGAACTTGCCATAAGGTAGTATAAGCGGGTTAATCGACAAAAGTTTACATGACCCAACAACACATGAAATTAAACTTAAGTTTCTTCTATGTCGGCAAATAAACTCATCAATCCCAAATTTTGCAGCTTTAATGCGACTTATGAGGATCTGCTTTTATCCAATGCACCCTTTCACAAGCCAATCCCTCTAGCTGTAAGTTCCTCCATTCTCAAAAAAAGAAAGAAAGATGTGCTCCTTTCAAAATATTACATTTGGGAAGTGAGGATGGTTTGGCTTTTTCTTGAAGAATATTCCTATTGCATTGGCCTTTCCAGACCTTTTTTCCTTCATGCCTGTTTTGGCATCTAACATTGTTGTAATCTTTGTTGCAGGAAATGGTGGATTTTTTGGTGGACTCTTGGCTTGGGGACGGCCTTTTCGACTAATGTCTTCTCCATTTATATATATATATATAATTTTTTGGGGGTACAGAACTTAGTTTGCAAACTCTGAAATTTTGGTTAGAGGAGAAATCAGACATCTCTGGCTGAAATCCTGAGACTTGAAGTTGGGTTTTATTGCCATTCCTTTTAGGCGTAAAGTACTACGATAAAGACTTTTTTATTTTTAGACCTTGGAAAAGGACATAATGATTCTCCTAATTCTTACTATGTTTTTAAATATAAAACTTTTATTTTGTTACATCTATATATATATATATATATACCACCGTTGAATGACTAATCAAATTCAATAATATTAAATATTTCTAAAATATGTTATGGAAAATGTTCCGTTTACATAAATATATATATAAAACAAGACGGTTTGCTTAGATATTGTTTGTTTGGCGAGTAAAAAGAAAAAAAAGGGTTATGCAAAACAACGAATACGCGCACATATGGCGCGTGAGCATCACCGCCCCAAAATCCCTGGGTTATAACCCACCGAATCGGCCTAATTTCGGAAAATGGAAAACGAAGGCGCGTGAGCTTTGTTTTCCACGTACCACTTGGGAGCTAATCTTTCGGAGTATTAGGCTGCGTTTTCGGCTCTATTTGGGCCTTAAAAAATAATGTGTCGTCGGCCCATTACTCTTTTTTTAATTGTATTAATTAAATTAGTGACCATTTTAGGATACATTTTTCTTTTCATTCCAGGGTTTCGTTTAGTGTTTCTCTCACCGTTACTTTTTTAAAATCATTGAATGGAAAAAAGAAAAAAGAAAGGAAGAAACGCCCCCGGCTCGCTGAGATGGGGGTGTAAAATGAACTACGGCATAGAAAAAATCGGATCAAATAAACCAAACCGTCACGATCAAGACTCGTGGTGAGTCACCTCTTCGCACTGACTCTCATGTCAGAAAAAAATATATTTTTTAAAAAAGTTTAATATTTTTATATATTTTAAAATGTTTTTATATACAAATTATATTTTTATTACATATTTAATTTGATTTGTTTAAAATTTAATATTTTTATTATATTTTAAATATTTTAAAAATATTTATAATATTTTTAAAATATTAAAATTATTTTTAAAATATTAAAATTATTTTTAAATAGTTTTTAGTATTAAAATTTTATTTTAAAAATTTATATATTTGGTTGGCGGACTAAGACGATACGAGATGTACGGTTAGCTAGAAAAACGGATCGAACAGAGCTGGATCGAACCGCCCCATTTTACAACCCTAGCTGAATGCAACTCTGATTACATGATACAATATTTATAATTTTCCAAAAGAAACAAAAAGCATATCTTCATGCAAGCTGCGACTGAAACTGCAACCTGCAGATAGACAGAACACAGAAGCTTTCATTCAAACTAGAATTCGACCAAAACAATTACTGTTATGCCTCAGCAAGTTATTGCCGGAGGAAGGAAACTTCAAGAATTGTTTGAATACAGAAGAATTTTATGCCAAAAAAAACAAAACAAAACAAATGAATAACAAGCAGATTGCTCTTCCAGTCTCCAGGATCCGAGCTCCAAAAAGATCAATGATCTTGATTTAGGCAATGGATTCAGGCCTCTGGTTTGAGAGGTTTGACAACTTCCCAGGTGAAATCAGGGTCATCCCGGCCGAAATGGCCATAGGCTGCTGTCTTCTGGTACCTGCCGTTCCCTCCTCTCTTCAAATCCAGGTTAATGGAAATCATCCCTGGCCTAAAGTCGAAACTCTCCTTTATCAGAGCCAGTATGTCCTTGTCCGGAATCTTCCCAGTCCCGTAACTGTCCACAAACACGGATAACGGTTCAGGCACTCCAATCGCATACGAGACCTGCACAATGCAACGGCGTGCAAGGCCCGAAGCCACAACACTCTTGGCCGCCTGTCTCACGACATATGCACCGCTCCTGTCCACTTTGGTTGGGTCTTTACCAGAGAAGGCACCTCCTCCATGAGCCCCCCATCCACCGTAAGTGTCGATGATGATCTTCCTTCCGGTTAGCCCTGCGTCACCGTGAGGTCCACCAATGACGAAACGGCCCGAAGGGTTCAGGTGGAAGATGGTTTTGTCATCGAGGTATTGAGCAGGAATTACAGGCTTGATCACATGTTCTTTCAGGTCGGCTGCTATTTCCTCATTGGTGACGGACTCATCGTGTTGGGTTGAGATGAGAACCGTGTGGACTCTAACAGGAATCATGGCTCCACCCTCATTCTTATACTCAACAGTCACTTGGGTCTTCCCATCGGGCCTCAACCATGGACATGTTCTGTTCTTTCTAACTTCAGTGAGCTTAGCACCGAGCTTAGTGGCCAGGACATGAGTTAACGGCATAAGCTCGGGGGTCTCATCAGTAGCATAGCCAAACATGTGTCCTTGGTCACCAGCTCCAATCTCTTCGGGTTTCTTGGTGAGGTGGCCATGAACTCCCTGAGCAATGTCGGGGCTCTGTTGCTCGATGTTCACAAGGACCTTGCAGTTGTCAGCATCGAGACCAACTTCCGGTGATATAAACCCGATCTCTCTGCAAGTGTCTCTGACTATTTTCTCATAGTCAACCTTAGCCGTGGTTGTGATCTCCCCAAAAACCATGACCATGTTAGTCTTGGTACAGGTCTCACATGCCACTTTGCTCTCTGGGTCTTGTTCCAGACAGGCATCAAGGATGGCGTCCGAGACCTGATCACAGATCTTGTCTGGATGTCCTTCGTTCACAGATTCCGAGGTAAAAAGGAAAGTCTCCATCTCTGCAATGAGTAAAAATCAAATGTAGCTTCAGTTCTCAGATCTACACAGTGAAACCCAATCCATTGCACGCTACACATATACAAACTGAATCATAACCATTCGAATCCATCGAAAAAAGCCAACCGCCATTGACAAGACGAAAAGAAACTGTTAGAATACGAATCATGACTTCATTGCTTGCTATTCAATAAGATATCCAGATCAAGACGGAACGAATCCTCTCGTTGTGGTACTGATGGCTTAATAATATTGAATTCAGGAATCATGATCGAATCATATAGCCCATTTCATTACAACAATGCATCCCTAAAGTCGGAATCTTATCAGAAAACACCCCCCAAACCCAGATCTGGAACCCCATTACAAGCCCAATAAAGTATGACGAATAAATAACAAAATCGAGATCGAATCACATGAACCCACGATGAGCAGCAGTTGTAGAAAAAAAATGAAGAAACCAAGAACTATTCCACGCAAAAACAGCAGAGCAATCGCATCAAAACCTCGAAAAGACCAATACCATGTCGCAAGCAACCGAAAAAATACAGATTCAGGATTGGATCGGCGTTAAAACACAGTAACCCGAAAGAAATCAGAGGGAGAAGAGAATAAGCAACGCACCTGTAGATCCAAGGAAGGTAGAAATGGCGGAGATAACGAGAAAGCAGAAAGCTTTATATGGTGCCAGTGACCTCGTTCACGTTTCATTTAATCCCGCTCGTCCGTCCATAATTTCTTGATAATTATTGTTGAACCCCTTCATTTAGATATAATTATATAACCTCCCCATAACTTCTTCTCGTCCTGCCTTCCCCTTTTTAATTGTAAAAGGATGTTCACGCGCCTGACACGTCTCCTTAATTAAAATAAGTCAAATTCGGGAGATTTCCGCATACTATATAGTCCATCCATTTAGAGAACACGCGCGCAACGCGCTACACGTGCGCGTGGGATTTCTACGCGCCGTAAGAAGTTTTTGTACTAAGCCCACGTTTATGAACATGGATCTTGCAATGGGCCTGATATGTTTTTAGTATTTTAAAGGGCCCAATATCTTCGCACTAGTCTTATATAATTAATTTATGTTAATAAAACGGAATAAATTTTCCGAGAATTTTCGTTTTCCTTTTTTTTTTTCGAACACTAAGGTCGTTTATAATTATTTTTATATCTAATAACAAGATCATTTTCTATAACATCATATATATAAATCTACGGTTTGTTTCATACGGGCACGACACGTGGCGTCTATGATAGTAAATTAAAAGTATAAAATACATGCATTCAACCATTGCATTGAGAAATTTGTAGAATAAAAATGAGTCTGCATACATGAATATACACAGATCTGAAAAAGATGCATGTTTATAATCTATTCGTGATATTCAATAGGGGTGGCCATTTCGGTTATTAACCGAATAACCGAGCCGAACCGAACCGAATAAGACATAACCGTACCCGAACCGAACCCGACATCAAAACCGAACGGTTATGATTTTCTTAAACCCGAAAAACCGAAACCGAAACCGAACCGAACCGAATAAAAAATAACCGAAAAAACCGAGAGAATAACCGACAATTTCTTTGGAAAATTGAACTTTTTATCAAAACCGAACCGAACCCGAACCGAAAAATAACCGAACCGAACCGAACCGAAATTTATATAATAACCGAATGGTTATAGTTTTTCTATAACCGAAATAACCGAACCCGAATATAACCGAACCGAACCCGAATTGAAACCCGAATTGGCCACCCCTAATATTCAATGTCTTTAAAATCTATTTGTTTTGGAATGAATTAGATTCAATTAATTTTGTAAATATATAATTTTAAAGTTTTTACATTTTTTTTATGTATATAATAAATACATACATTGATTTTGACAATACGTATACTATATAATAACTAGATTCGGTTCTCCCATTCTTCTCACACGTGAAGAAGAGGAGGGGAAGTATCTTCTTCATATCATCACACCAGATTTCAGATATGAGAGAAATAGAAGAGGCATACACTTAGAATAACATATATATATATATATATATATATATATATATTCTAAAATATAAAAAAAATGACTGTGACTTTTTATAAGATATGATGTTAATTTTGAATTTATTTATTAATATATCATATATATATATATATAACGTAGAAATATCATTCAAATTAAAATCATAAGAGACGATGATAGATCTATCACATATGAAGAACAAAGTGAACTCCTGCATCGCATAATCAAAGAATTTATAAGTCGAATCAACCAAATTATATTTTCATTATATCCAACTCGATGAGACTACAAAGGAGATATATTTAAATTAGAATTAGATCGATTATGATAAAATATACATAACACACAAATATTACATAATTATAGTTTTTAATTTTTAGGATAAAAATAACCAAATTTTAATTTGTAAAAATATAACGATTTAATAATAAAACATTATACTGGTATTTTATTTTGAAGTATTAATTAAATTAAATATATTATTCTTATATTGCTAACACAACTAAATTTAAATTGTTGTTTAAAATTATACTTTCCAAATACTTGAACTTTTTTGGGACCATTCTAATTGTCAAAATGGTCATCCTTTTATCGAGTCATAAAATTAATCAAAATATTGTATTAATATTTCATATTACAATCTTTGATTATATACGATAATTCATAAAATACAAATACGTAAATTGTTCACAGTCTTTCTCGAGAAAAACGAGAAAAACGTCATCCCGTTGTCTCAATATTTTAAAAAAAAATTATTTTGATTTAATAATATAAATTATAAATTTGAAAACAAAAAATTTAATATTTAATTTTGAAATTAATAATAAAATTATTTAAAACTCATATATATATTATGCCGTGATGCGCGCGGACAATAACATAGTATAATTAAATCTAAGTTTAGTAATACTTCCGAGAATTTTCGTTCATTAATAATTCCTCGATCTTCACTTAAATAAATATCTACATTTTGGATGTTTTTTTGTGATTAATATTGTTGATAATCCATACAATGCATGCGATTTTCCAAAATTCTATACATATAATTGATGTTTATCTTCTATATATATCCATATATATATATATATAATCATCAATAAGTGACCAATAATTGTTCGACGAGAGATTCTATTAAAACCGTGCCAAAAATATATATGAAATATGATCTCTCGTTAATGATGGAATTCTACAACTTTCCTCCATAAATATCATTTATAGAGACCAACCAGCACTCAAATTAAATTTACATAAATCTTACATACATACATACATACATACATACATACATACATACATACATACATACATACATACATACATACTAACATACATACATACATACATACATACATACATACATACATACATACATACATACATACATACATACATACATACATACATACATACATACATACATACACATACGTTTATACTGTTATACATACACCTAAACATACAAATATCCATTACATTTATCACAAATATATACTAATGTGACCTCACTTGTACACTCATTTCCGCCTAACATAAATGCTAACAAATGTATAGTGAAATAAATGCATACTACATATTTCTTTGCAACTGCACATAAATACACATGCGTATGTGACCCATACATTCTTATCATTTTATTTAAAAGGATTTAGAGTTTATGGCTATAATAAAAACAAATACACACAGAGAGAGAGACATAGGAAATTATACACCTATATACATCCATACATACAGAGGGTTTAGGGCTGTAAATCTATACTTGATTTTAGGTCATATACACTTTCTATATGAACCAAAACCATATGCATTAAATAAATATATTATTTTAACACTTGTTTTTTCCAATTGTAACCGTGAGATATTATTGGATCAATCAAATTAATATGACTTAGCTCCACATGTAAAGTAACCCATATAATTGAATAAATAAAAAAATGGACCAACCCGTATGACATCTAGTGGGGTGTTGGTAAATGAAATATACTTAGACCATCTTACCCCTACATTTTATTTAGAGAGATGGATTCGAACCCGCGACCTCACGGTAAATGGTTTTATCGCTGAGCCAAGTCGGCCCTTCCGTAATTGAACCGATAGAGAGAAAAAAACGGAGGCATTTGTTTATTTCAACTAATACTACTAAGCCTAGTTCTGTTTCTTGCAAGAATCCAACTCTTATAACAAAACCAACGCACTTAACTATGCTTCTAAAAACAATGCTAAAATCTAGAAATCTTTGCCGCCTCTTCCAAGCTGAACATCTATCAAACTCATCAGAGTGCTAAATCCAGAGTTAGTAGAACCCGAGAGACGTACCTGAGAGTAAGTTCGGTTCAGGAATACGATGATCGGGTCAGGTCTTGGGCTACAAGATTATGTGAAAGAGAGCTCATATATCCACTTTGATGAAGTTGTTGGAGATGTTTCCCTTTGTGATGACTTCTTTCCGAGGATCAATCATCCATTTCCCGTCCACGATGAACTTTATCTGGAAATATGAAACTCAAATCAGAAAAAAGCAAGGTTACTAACCCGGTTTGAGTTAGTAAGGAGAAGAGAAAGCCATTGAAACCTCGTATTTCCCCGGATACAACCACAGTAATGTCGACCAAAATTTCTGTTTCCTGCAAAAAAAAATAAATGGATGGAATGCTGAATAATGAAATAATTATCTTATACACCAAAAAACATATGATGCACACTCAACATTAAGTGAATGTTCGAATCAAATGCACCTTAACATATTATGTTCATGGTAAGGAGATATATAAAGATGGAACGAATCTAACTAATGACATGTAGGATAGCTTCATGAATTCAGTACTAAAAGTTTTGTCAGAAATCAAGTGGCTCGCAGTTATCAGATGACATGGGCCGAAATCCAGAATTCTCTAGTGGTTTTAAGGGAACCAAGCAACAATTTTGTCTCTTTTTTCCAACAAAAAGAAATTATACCAAGAAACTTAGCCCTTTGTGTCCGTATCAACTAGTGAAGGTATATTATTACCCGATGAACTGATTAAGAGCTTTTAGAGCAGATGATCAGAAAATACTAACCCGATTGACTTGGATGGCTGAAGTTCCATTTCAACATGGTTTAGCCAGCCATTGAAGCTGCCCGTCACCTCCACAACATTACCATCTCCACAGTATCCAATCTCAACCTAAAAGTAATTCCACTTTTACAGCCGTTTTTCCTCTGTTTTGACTAACTAAAACGGTGAACATGACAATGAAAAACAAAGAATAGTTTCCTAAATTCCTACCAATAACCAGTGACCCTTATCCAACAATGCAAAAAATGATGTTACACATAATTATTCAGAACACAAAGTGAGAAGGTTTTCATCTTAGATTACGCCACCTTGCTGAATCATTACAGCTGTGGTTTGACATAGTATTAAATTTGGAAATTAACCAGATTGTAACCATTAAATAATAGAAAACAAAATCAATGTACCTCTTGCAATCCCAATAGACTTTCTTCAGCTGCTTGGAGTTCAGCATCCTTCTCTGAGATTAGCTTTTGGGCCTTGTTGATCTCTGTTTCAGCCTTTCTTTGAAGATCTGAAAGAGCTAGCTGCACTCAAGACACCTTGGATTAGGAGCGCAATTAAGTTTTGCCATTTTCACGATACTAGAAAAAAAATGGGGAGAAACATGATATAAGAACAAACAGATGCTAACAACAGAGCTAATGCCCGTATTAGATATGAGAAGTAACGCATCAACTACCCAGTTATGTTTAAAACACAACAGTGACTCATATGATCCAGATGCAAATGGAGTAAATACAAAAGAAAAACATTTAAGAATTTGTCAACTCATGCCCATGTCCCCGCTTGACACCTTTGGCGTAAGTGCCTTCCAAACTGGTTAGCAATTACAAGATTTTGGTTTTTGGACAGGAAGGCAACCGTTTAATCAATCTAAAATCACTTCCAGAAAGAAACAACTTTACCTTTTCCTTTTCAATCTGCTCCTTCAACGTTGACAGTTTTAGCTCCTTTTCATGCTAAACACACAAGAGACAGCCCAACGAAATTAACAAAAAAAATTGCAAGCAAGATATATAGCTTTGTCTTTCATTAAATTACCATACACCGAAAAACACAAAATAAAGTACCAGCATAAACTTTAAACGATCGATTTCAACCTGATTTTCCCTTTTCCCGGTCTGTAACATTGTGAAGCAAGGTTATATGAGCAAGATTAGGAATATAGCAGTCGGCAAAGCTCAATGAGATCGGTAGACAAAGTGGGTCATAAAGTTAAAATTATGATGACAGAAGGTGTACCTCTTCATGTAGATCCTTGTGTTGGTCAGAATTTTCATTTCCCCAGCCATTGTTCCTAGAAATTTAAATAATACCATCTTAACGCACCACAATTTGGGAGAACTACACACGGACTCAATCTCTTTACGTTCTGACTCATTTTTTTCAGTCAGGAAAAAAAGATGCATTGTATTGTATTATAAATAAAAAAAATGGCTATAACAAGTTAATAACATACGAAACAGAGTACCAGAGGAAGCATGAAGCAAACCAGATTATTTAAGTGAACATGCAAAAAAAGTTCCAATAGTTCCATGCAGTGAAATTCTGGAAATTATCAGTTTCTAGAGAAGCACTTGCGTCCTATTTTATGCTCGAAATGTAAGATCCAGACACAACTCCTAAAAGAAAATATTGAACAAGAAGCGAGGACCGGAGAGCTTCATGACACCATCCAGAACACTAACCTGTCAAAACTGTCCACTGTTGCAGCATGGGTAATCTCTTCTATGTGTATGGCGTTTCCATTTGATGTCATACTTGCATTTCTCTGGCTGTATCTTATGTGCTCGCTGCTGGTGATTGTCAACCGGATATTTTCCAGATCATGTGTTCCTGTATATTCTTTTTGAGGACTTTCATTTGGAATATCATCCCTATTATCTGAAACCAACTCCAAAATTCAGCACAAAATAAATGATGAAAGAAAAAGGTCACCCTAAGACAAATGCCAATGACGAGGATATTGATAGGACATGACATTATAAATATAATTATGAAGACAAAGTTTTTGAAAGATAAACATCATGGCAACAATTTCATCGGACTTACCATCCACTGCATCCAAGAGTCCATCTTGAATAAATCTGGTTGTCTTTTCTTCTATGCTCGATGTGACAGAAGAAAGTCCTAACAACCGATCCTTGTCATCTGATTTAACTAAGCTATGATCAAGACCGCCCAAACGGTAATTAGCCACACCATCCATCAGCTGATTCTGACAAATCCCTTCATTGGAGATTACGTCATCTGGATGAAGAGTAAACAAGGTCCCAACATTCACATCAGCATGGCCTCTCTAATTGAGAACTGGACTGGTGTAGTGTTGTTCATAAGGATGAACACCACTTGACAATGAGGCATCTTTGCCTACATCATTGACATCGTCATTTTTCGCCGCCACAACATTGTCAGCCTCTTTGTCTGAACAACTTGGAGTATCATCTAAAACATAAGAAACATTCCATAATGTTGGAAATTCAGAAGACGATAAATCATCGCCAACAACCTCATTGGTCTCTATTCTGTCACTCTCCAAATCTCCCGAGTCACTTTTGTCATCCAAGCTCAGATATATTCCATTACCAAAAACAGGAAGTGAGTTTTGAGTGCCCGGAACCTCAACTACTGGAGATCCATCTTTACTGGCACTTCCATGTTCTTCAGCTCTGGGACTTAAAAATGTGATAAAATTTCCTTCTCGTGAATTATTAGTATCCCTATCAAGATACATACTATTATCTGGTGCAGCTGAATATCTTCTTCCCATGCTCGAAAATCCGCTTGAAGACAAATCCTCTTCACCCACACCTTGTGCTCTTTCATCCTGGCCTTTTAAATCACATTATATGTATCAGAAAATGGTGACTATATTGCACGATCTACTATTCGATTGAACTTTTTTGTTAAAGAAATCGCACATTGACCTGTTAAGGCGTCTATTTCAGAAACACCAGCTGCACTTGGTCCAAAATTTGCGGTTTCATCGGAAGCAAACTCTTTATTGTTTTCCATCTTTGAGTTTGCAAGAAGCTCCCTGATGAACTTATATCCTCTTCGTCTCACAATGTTTGCAAGATCATTTCTACAAAATATTTGCACAACCAAAATTAAATTAAATTTACCTTCTAAAACCATTTTGGAGAACATAGAACGACTGCAAGAATCAATCACCAGTTCTCTTTCTATGAAACTACACCCAATTACTAATGAGTTAAATTCATAACACCCCTTCTAGAAACTAACTAATAGGACCTGGAAATGTTTAGTAATAAGCATGTTCATCTTAAGTTTTGGAAATAAACTCAACAAGGATATGCTTGGTAGACCTCAAACCAATCATCCACAGATTTTCAATCCAAAAGACAAGAAAAAAGTTAGGCATGAGATGAAAATTTTCACAAGTGACAATTGGTTAACGGTGTTCATATCAATGATGTTAACAAGCCCCAATATGACTATCAAAATCGGATATTGAACTCGTGAATTTCAAAGTGTCGAACCTTCCATGATCCAAGAGTTCCTTAATTGATGGCACATGATCTTCCGGAAACCCAACCAAGGCAATGAACTCCATAATCTCACCTCGAAGCTCCTCATTGCTCTTCACTTTCTTGCGAACCCTGCAAACCCACAAGACATCGATCGAGTTAACGCCGCAACGACAATTCTCCGACATTTTCCGCAGCCCCAATCCAAGAAATGGATGGAATTTGAACCTGGTTTGTTTGACAGCACAGGCGAAACAAATGGACCGGTTCCTCTTCCTTAAGCTCCATTCCGAAGCACATAGTTGCTGCTCATGATGATGGTAGAAGAAGAAAGGCTTGCGACAGTGGCTTGGCGAAATCGGGAGAAACACAGGGATACGAAAACTCGTCGCCATCGCAGCATCAAGAGAGAGAGAGAGAGAAAACTGGAACTTGAAGAATTTCAAACCCCGCTAAATCATTCCACCCAATTTTTCATTATCTCCCACTCCGATTCTCTCTGATAATTTTCTGTTTCTATTTCAAATCATGTGTTCGTTGACGAACAAAGCGGAAATGATTTTCCAAAAACTGGGTTTCGGTTTTGATGTTAAACCAAAACCAAACGCCTTTGCTCAACCGGATTTTGGTTCAACCAAAACCGGAATTCAATCAACCTAACAAAACCGGTTCAATACCATAAGAAAATTGCACGCCCATACCCGGTTACGCAAATCATATTTAACTATTAGACCAAATCATATTTAACTATTAGACCGATAACCGGTTATGTCTCGAATACAGAACAGTATCACATAATTAGTGGTCTAAAAATCGACACATTATAACAAAAATGCCAAATTTAGATTCCCTAAATCTTACAAATCTATTTTTTTTTTCTATTACAAATGAAATACAACCTAAAAAGACTAACCCCAGAACCAGGGAGGAACACATACAGAAACAGAATCAAGTTCCTAACCATCGAACCACGTACCTAGCTTTGGTACTACCAAACCGGTAAACCATCGGTACTGTGAAACTGAACCGGCTATTCTCGAGCGGACCAATATAGATAAGACCTCAAGCCTCAGACTTTACACGAATATACAACAGAACCTGAGAGAACAATGCCTGCGTGCATTTTTTGTAAACCGTCCGAGGTTTCAAAGCTCGGGCTTAACACGAGCCGCCTTTATGATCCCCGGGATCAGAGGCGGTGACGACGTGGAAGTAGAAGCGGCATTGGCTCGTGGGGTAGGAATGATCTGAGGCTGTGGAATAGAGCCATGGCCTTGGATGGCGTTTTCTGATGGGACATTGTGAGCCATCTGATCATTGCTCGGTGGTGGCCTCTCGTTGAACTTCATCGACTTTAGGACGAAGTTATCGTCGTGGAGCTCAAATGGGGTGCTGCAAAAGATTAAGCAGGGTTTTTGTTGTCTATTTTCATATCTGTTTCCGCCTCCAAAAAAATTGAGAAAGAATCAAACTCGGGCTAACCTGTTAAAATCGAAGTGTACCAGCTGCATATCTTCAGATATTTCCACTTCAACCGTTGCATGAGGCCGTGTCTAACCAGAAAATTAACAAAAATATCAATACCTAATCTGTTAAATCCGATATTGAGACTAAAAAGAGACAAAAGGAAAAACGCCGTCTTCATTATTTACTCGGTTTCGGAATTTCTTGGAGACAGTCCACAAGCTAAGGTAAATTCAAGAATCAAGAAGCAAGCTCGAAGGAGAAAGTGAAAATAGATGAAAGTAAAGCTACTACCTGAACGAGGATGAAGGGAAGTGCAACTCCGCCGCTTGGAGCATTTCCAGAGCTGTATAACTGTTCATTTCTTCGTATCAGGCTCTGCAAGCCAACATACTTCAGACCACAAAAAGGACGAACAGATAAGATCACCGATAAAAAGGAAAGCTAAGACCAAAGAGGCATTTCGTTTTGAGTAATAAGAAAAATCGGTTGTGGGTTTCCATAAAACATCGAGCAGATAAAAAGATGAAAACAGCTTTTGGATAAGGTATAAGATAGAGGAGGGAATTAGTAGTGGTTTACTTGTTCTTCCAGTTCTTGAAGATATGCAGCTTTCTTGTCGATCCTGTTTCTCAATGTGAGACGTTCGTTCTGTATGATTAGTTAAAAAGTCAAGAACAATCTACAGATTGGAGACAGAACACAAGCAATCACAGATCAGGAAAAACGGTTGTTGGAACCTTTAATTCTTCGATGTCACTAATGCTGGTACGAGGAAGACCCTTCCATTGAATCTCCTTTTTATCCTTTGATATGATATCCATCGCCATGAGAACGTTCAGAGCATCATATACTCTTCTTCTTATGTTTTTTTCGTCATATTGTTGCTGCTATATAAGTTTTCAAGACAAAAGAGTAAATCAATTGAGTCCAATGAATATATATCTCAATAGCAGAATGAATCAAAAAGTATGAAGAGCACATACGATATACAACATGCATATACATAGATCTATGCATGTGTACATATTGAAGCATATTGAACTAATGAAAGAAGAACGAACTTGATCCGGAGATGTTCCAGTGTTCCCAGGATCGCCAAATTCAGCAACAAGCTCATCTGCAACCTGAAGGCACTTTCAACTTTCAGAAATATGGTTGAAATTATGTACAATGGCAATTACTACTCATGAAACAAACAGGAATTATCGTAACACTATATTGATTTTTCTACTGGGTGATTTTCCACATCGGCAAAGAACACCCACGATGTAAATTTCTATCATACAGACATAACAGCAGTAATGTCTTGAACATCATTTTTGCATACAACAGATTCAGGTATCAGCTGAAACAAGTGATTGGTTCTCGTAATTCACAATGCGTTGAAGCTAACAACTTAAGAACCACCTGACCTCATTGTAAGTAGTCCTTCCCTTGCTTTCCACTTTTTCACAAACTGAGAAGAAACCAAATTACTCATGATCAGATCGAGGAGCCACCAAAAGTAAGAGTCAACTAATCCAAACTTGAAGAGAATAATTGGATGACTAGTCAGTCCCCTACAGAGATATTTCGATAGTTATCTTGTCTCAGAGTTCATTCTTGGTAACACCTTCAAGTTTTTCAAATAAAAGCCAAAGAACAACAGAAAGGAGGTGAGGCAGAGAGATGAACTATAAAGACCTTTCATGCTAAATTGCCGTAGCCCTCTCCCACTCTTATCAGGTCCAACTGCCCGTTGGCCCCTCTTTTTCTTCTTGCCACTGTTATAAACAGACAATAAGCTAAATCCACGCAAGATATTTAACATCAACCTACAGTAAAGATGACTGCATGCTAAAGCATAAAACAATGTTGTGAAGACACAAGGACTGGTAGAAAGATGACGATTAGCAAAGAGATTCAAATAGGTTTATAAATGTCGGACTTACGTTGGATGACAGGGAGTGTCGACAAGTTACAAAGGAATCACCAGGATGCAGAGCCAAATTCAAGCATATAAAAGAATGATTTACATGGTGATTAAGCACATAAAATCTGATGGATGAATTGATGGAAAGAGAGTTTTAAGCGCTAGCTTGTACACAGAATGAGAGTTTACAATGAAGGGGAAACCAAACACTCAGATTATTTTTTTTCCAGTTGACCAAGTAATTCTTATGTAAAACATGAGCCAGCACTGGTTGTTCATAACAGAACAAAGCTAACTCAAATACCCTAACTGGTTCCTCTCTCTCTCTCTTTATCTCTCCCTCTCCCCCTCAACATTGATCCACTCACTTTTAAACTAGAGATCTTCAACTCAAAAGAGAAGATCCATATAACCCTGGCTTCATACTTCTTCCTCAGAGACCCCAGGGACAACTCGTGTATCAGTTTACAGTGTTTGCTTAGATTTGATATAGTGTTTTAATTACTGTCAATACCAAATAAAAATAGTTCCTGCTAAAGGCAATGCTCACGTCGAATTGATAATAACTTGTTCCAAATGCCAAACATATTCTCATTCTCCAATCCTATGCCAGATCAGAAACCCCAATCCAAATGTTAAGCTCAAACAAGAAAACAGGATATCCAGATATCAGTCATCTCAATGTATCCCTACCAAAGGAGCGATCAGGAAGCAGACAAGAAAAAACTTGTACAAGAAACCTTAGTCACCTAAACCCACTACAGTCAAATGCAGCATCATGCAGAATTCACCAAACATTCCCAAACCAAGAATTTCCAAAGAATTAACAAGTTCAACATACCCAACAGCTCCCTGAGAACCGGCATCGTCGCCCTGAATGTCCAAATTGTTCAGCCGGAGAAAGGTGCTGTCGCTCGCCGGCGTGGCCATGGTGACCAGCTCGCTCCGGCTCGACGGCGACCCAACACTGCCGCTCGTGGACACCGATTGTCCGGACGCCCCCGTACCCCACGACCTCGTACCAGGGTTGTTGTTGTTGTTCATTGCCCCACCATCCTCCTGGTGGTTTTGGTTAGAATTAGACCCACTCGTCATCCGTTACCTAACCGATTGCCGCAAAAACCGCAACTTGAGAATCCGAGAAACCGCAAAAAAGTTTGGATTATAAGGAAAACCCAGATGAGAACTGGCCTTAAACCGACTTGGGCATTGGACAAATAGAGGAGATTGAAGCTTCAGTAATGGAGGATCATCCCCAAAACACCCATCTCGTTGTTCGTAATCTCTCCGCCAGTTTCTTTTCGATGCTCCGAAGAAACAATCTTCCTCCGGCCGAAAGAGTTTAGGTTTTCGCCGGAGGAAAGAGGGGAACGGTGGGACTGATCTGAGCGGAGAGACTTTCGATTTTGGATTCGGAATTTGGAGGTTTTTGTTTGTGGGACGACAGGAGATGAAAACAGATGTCACAAGAGAGGACCAAACTGGCTCTTTGGAAAAAAGAGGGAAAAAGAAACGTGTGATTTGTGTGGGCTTTTTTTTTTTTTTTTTTTTTTGCGTGATCTCTAACAAACCTATGTGTATAATAAAATAAAAATAAAACATTAACAAATCCAATTGTAATATAAAGCTAAGCTGCAAGTTCTCCATTAATACACAGTAATGTTCCGAGTAAACAAAAATATTCACAATATTTATAAACAGAATTTCTATTACCAATTTGGTCCGTTGCCAACTGTCTAAAATAAATGTATATAGATCATACAATATACATGCATGTGCAGTGTGCATGTATATTTGTAACTCTACAAAAATGCTCTAGAATATTTTTTTTTAAAAAAATCATAATTATCTATGATTTTATTTTTTTAATTTCCTAGTTCTGTTTCATGTAATAACGGGACAAAAGGAAGGTTGAGAGAGAATCTCTCCACGCTTTTTGTCTCTCTCACAACATCAAATCATGAGTTTCAGAACCCTTTTTACACTGACTAATCATATCATTATCTCCTCTTTTTCCAACTCTAAATTCCGTAATTAAAGGACATATTCAAACATACAAAATCCCCAAGAGAAAGAAAGAAAGAAAAAAACTACAACAGAAACTTATTAGTGGGTCAAAGACAAACACATGCAACTTAAACTCAAAAGATCCAGTAAACCTCAATTATATCAACAGATCCGATCTCAAATTCTCAACTCACCAGAGATTGCCTAGGAATTGTAGCTGGCTATGAATGCCAAACCAGCAATAACTCTTCTCTTCAATGCCTGTAAGGAGCTCTATCACTGCTGCTTGTTTTCAGGGCTCAAGGCTTTCAATGTCCCACAAGAACGATAATACAAACGTGTTTGCACCGAGGAAGAAAAATTGTAAGAGATGAGAAAAATGCATACCAGTTGAGATGGCAGCAGCACCTGCAACTGCTTCTTGAAAGTCTTTGTTAAGAAAGACGTGTTCCTGTCTGATCCCCTTCTCGATCAAAATCCTGAAAACGAGACATTATCTCAACAACGCAATCAACGGTACAACATGAAACCCATTCACTTACTGTATGATATCTGCTGCTGAACAAGATATACATTAATTACTCGTTGCTTGATTTAAATTGTAAAAAGTGATCACCAATTTGCAGCAGGAAAGACAGATTAAATTACTTTGGGTTGACATATGCAGGAAGCGGACCAGATTCAACTTCAAGATCAACTCTCAAACCATAACCTGCAAAGCACGAAACAAGATTTCGCATAAAGGCTTCGCCAAGATTGAAGCTTAAGTTATGATTAAGCACCTCTCTGATTCCATCACCGTCGATTCTGCTCGCGCACAAAGCAGCAGGAACCTTCTCCAATCTCCAGAATTCCAAGCGATTGCGCGCTGGCTAACCCGAAATGATCTCGGATATAACAAACAATCACGACCCTGATCACAATTTTGAACCAGGACAAAATCCGAAATTGAAAATCAAAATTATCAGCATCGTGATCGACCATCATAACTCAGAAGTCAAGAACACAAGAGACCGAACAAATTCTTGGAAATTCAGCCGAAAATTAGGAGTCACAGAACCTGACAAGTAAATGCATCGGAGATGTAGTAGAGGACGGGGAGTAAAGGCAGCAAAGTGGTTTTCATGCCAAACACACAAGAAACAGCCCAAAGAAGCTGCAATAACTTTTTGTAAGCAAGATATATAGCTTTGCCTTTCATTAAAGCAGCATATGACAGTGGAAACAGAAGAGGAAATAACCGAAACCAAGGACAAGAAGAGTCACCCAACAAAATCATCCAGATTCATAATCATGTCGTCACGGCAAACATATTATTCAAGCCCGTAACGTTCTTGACACAAGCTTAAAGAACAAACATTAGGAAAACTACTTGTAGTGACCACCAACGGGATTTGCTGCTGCTAAAACAGAAGTCCGATGCAGTTTAAGTAAAAGAGGAAGTCGATGTCCAGATCAGAAGAGGTGAAATCGGATAAGCAAACCTGCAAGTACCATGGCATCTGCCCATAGGGTAGCAAGGATGAAAGTTTTGTCTTCTTCACCCATAATCAGATGAAACTATACAATGACATGAAAAAAAAATGTTGTCGCCACCGCCGTCTCCGTGCAAGACGACTGGAACGGAGAATCGCCCGCCGTTAACCTTTTCCCCGGTGAAAACGAGGGAGAGAGAGAGAGAGAAATGGAAAAGGCGAAAAAGAAAAGAGAAAGAACACTGACGGGAATGATGGCACCACCCTCACCGCCGATCAGAACCTTTCCGGCGGGGTAGTTTTTCCCTAAAACAAAGAACAAGAATCCATAAATACGACGCCAAGAAAACAAACGGCGGCCACTGAATGTGACGGCCGCGGGCGATCCCTTGATCAGAGAACCAAGAAAAGCCAAGCACGGCGATCAGATCGAAGACGACCTTTGGAGGCGGCGAGTTAATCGGAATCGTGGTCGGAGTCGGAGGCGAACGAGATCCGGCGAGCGAGAGAGCCAAAATGTGATTAGCAAGCTAATCACAATCTATATAAATAGGGAATTAAGTCGGTGAAATCAAAAAGGAGCCGTTGGATTTATTCCTTTTCTTTTAATCATCTTATTAAAAAAAACGCCACGTGGACAAAAAAAAGAAATTTAAAAAAAAAACAAACCCAACATGAAGGACGGGGATTGGGCCTGTGTAGAAACCCAAACCACATAAACTGTCGGAGCCTCGTCCACAAATGGAAGGTTCTCGAACGATTGCGAGCTTGCATCAAGAATAATAATGTCTTGAATCGTGGGTCCATAATGCTTTTTTTTACCGAAAATAAAAATAAATAAAGTCAGGCCCATTATATTTTTTGGTCGGCCCAATTATTTGCCTAAGGTGCTTCCACGTGTAATTTCGTACGCGTGGGCCATTCGCTTTCGTGGTTCACGTTTGTTGTGTAGGTTTTAATTATTTTAATTGTATTTTTAATAATAATAATATGGTATATATATACATATGTGCATGGAAACTCGTAGAGTGTTCTTTTTAATACGTTCTAAATGTAGAAACTCAATGTGGTAAATTTGAAAAAAAAAATTAACCTTATTTGCTTTTTTCACGTCCAAATACAGCAATAAAAAGGGCGAATTTGTAACACGATTTCATCTAAAGAACATTTTCTTTGTTTTCCACGGGTGAAACGATCATCCCATGTATAAATATCTCAATTAATCTTAAAAGTATATTTCATGATTCTATTTTAGTTTATTGAGGAAACTTCGTCCTAACATTCTTTTTGATGATATTTGGCCTCGTATATGTTCCTAAATATCGGCATTCA